CAAAATATGAATGAATCATTTTGCATCATGTCTAATGAAGGCTAATTGCTTTAAATAGAAACCGATGCATTGTCCAGACAGAGATACTGACGGCTGAATCGTGGTACTCAGACACTGGTGGTTGCGACTGGTTGAAGAATCTTTTGTTGGGCAGCAGGTATTCCTCTGCATCGACCACACCATCCATATCCTCAGTGCTGATCCACGACCTGAAGAACTTGGAGTCCGTCGGGCTGGGCAGGGATGTGGGATCATCTCCCTGGGTGACATGTAATATGAATAGTTAATGATCAATCTTCTTAAGTGAGCTCATTTATTTAATCTTATGTGTTCATTTTTTTAAATATTTAAACTTAAAATTCAGTTCAAATTTAATAATTTTTTTAAATATAAAAGAAATAAATTATTGAGAAAAAAAAATAATTGTCAAACACTGGTTAATAACTTTATTAATAACTAAATAAATAATAATAATTGGGGAAAAAATTGGTTAATGATAAGACTTTTATGGAAATAAATTTAATATATATATTTAAACTTTTCAAATTTGGTTCAAAAGTATCATAAATATTTGAAAACATTTATCATAATTATTGAAAAATATATTAATCGTAAAGTCAAGATAATATGTTTTGCTGTTTTTTTCAGAAACTGTATATTACTGTTCATGCATATATATTAATAAAAACCTATTAAATAAATTTCATTTTAATATAATTTTCTTGCATTTTTTTGTATGTTTTGTGCCTTTATTAAATTGCAAAAATAGTCAGTAAAAAATTATTTTATTTTTATTTTTCATTCCCAGGAGAAAAGCACAGATCTTTTTGTGAAAACTACCTGAACGACAAGATAGCGAGATGGATCTCGGGCCATTTTGGAAAACTCTGCCACAAGTTCGCGGAAGGGAGGTCTGCTGTCAGCGTCAATCATCCAACCTAGATGTACGTATAAAAGTATGTTCCTTTATGTCAACTGACCTTCAAATACTGTTACATACAAATCATGTTCATCTGAAATGTTTGTATTTGGGTTAATTCCAATAGTCCTCTTTCAACATTACACTAACTATAAGTAACTTTGAAACTACATGTCAACTGACTCTCATTAGAGTATCAGTAGACTTAGGATTCGTAGAATACGTTGACATCGAAATAAGGTGTTACCTATATTTGTAATGTCTATGATAGGACTTTTACACTCTTAGAAGAAATGGTTCTATTTAGAACCAGAAATGGTTCCATCCCCCGCTTCATATATGGAACTCCAAAATGGTTCTATATATAACCATTTTTTTTTTTGGTAAAAGGTTCTATTGGACAAGTATGGAACCTTTTTAAGAGTGTATAGAACCTTTTAGGGGTTCCAAATACATAGTGCTGATAGAACCTTTTAAGGTTCTATATAGAACCTTTTCTTCTAAGAGTGTATAGCCACATTATAGCTTTCATATGACATTTTGCATGATGATTTTCTGTTCCTCTCAGTTGCAAAATTAGCACTCACATTTGACCATGATCATATACACGTCTATAGTGCAGATGGACGGCTGCGGTAAACGCTCTCCCTTCTCCAGAATATCTGCAATCTCTCTGGCTGGGATTCCATCGTACGGTTTGGATCCAAATGTCATTAACTCCCAGACGGTAACCCCTGAAGAGAACCGGTAAATATATCAATAAACACTTTACAATAAAGTTGAATTTGTTAATGCATTGGATATTTTTCAAGTGGTCATGAACTGGCTTTTTAAATTGTATTATATTGTTGTCTGAGGTCAACTTATGACGTTTGCTCGGTTTTTACATTCAAAAACATCAAAATGAATAAGTAATAGACTATTTTCTACCCTAGTTTTGAGCCTAGCTGAAAAACGCTCGGTTTTTATGGGCGTTTCGCACTGAAGACTTGGAAGTAAACGCCCACTGCTGTGATTGGATAACAGTTTTGCATTTTATAATGAGTTTCAACTAACTCGTCGATACTCGCACTTGGGGGAAATTGTTTTGAAAACTTCAAATTGAATTTATCAGTTTCACCCCTTTAATGTTTTTAACAATGTTTATAAATCTAGGTTAATGCTACTTTATAACTATACTATGTTTATTACTCATTCATGTTCATTTATAATACACTAACTACTGAATCGTTCATCTATACAACGTGTGTCATGTAGAAATGAACATTTACAGCATGTATTAATCTTGTTTAACATAGTGAAGTTCATGATTTGCAAAGTGTTACCAAAAACACCACCGTTTTAGTGGCTATGGGGTAAAAACTGAATTGGCATTAACATTTGAATTGTGGAACCGCTATATGTTGACTTTTGCGTTGATTTATACTATTTGCCCATGATCTATGGAAGCTTGTTTCTCCCACAGAATAAAAAAAAGATGTATTACGACTTATTTTATTGCGACTTATTTTCTCACAATTGTGACTTGAGAATAATAATGAATGCAGTTCGTATTGCATGATATGTAGTGATAAGCACGTACCGTAACTCCAAACATCACTTTGATGAGTGTAAGTCCAGTGACGAATCGACTCAAGAGCCATCCACTTTATAGGCACCTAAAACATTCAGCAAAGGCAGCGAAATGAATACTCTCTTGTAAATATCAATAAGTATATACACATGAAAATGCATTTATATGTTTTCCAGTTGATGAATTGAATGTGAATCAGTGGATTGTTCACACATGACCTACTTTCCCTCCATCAGCGTGGTATTCCTTCTCGTCTGAACCCAGGAGTCTGGCCAGGCCAAAATCGGTGATCTTCACATGGTTAGGAGTCTTCACCAGCACATTCCTGGCCGCTAAATCACGATGGACCAGGTGACGTTCCTCCAAGTAGGTCATTCCCTGTTGAGAAGGGTCAAAATGTTTTTGAACTTCCAAAGATGTCAATCAATGCATTGTGCGTCCAATCAGCTGATTCCCAGACACTCAGCACTTTCAGGATCACCAGTTTGCTGTTTTCAAGAGGAAATTCAGTGGATTTATTTATGAGAGTGTTGTGACTCGTGAGCGCAGGACCTTTTAGTTTGTTTATTTATTTATACATAATTTTCAACACATAAATATTTTTTATGCACTTGGTATATGTACAAGGTTTATGCAATATTTATACACTATTGTTTTTGTTTGAGGTCAGTAAAACATTTTTAAGAAAAAAAAAATTAGATTTCTATTTTTATTAAGATTTCTATTTCATACAATTGCTGTTCTTTTGAACTTTATACTCCCCAAAGAATCCTGGAAAAAGGTATCACAGTTTCTACAAAATTATTAAGCAGCACAACTGATTTCAACATTGCTAGTAATCAGAAATGTTTCTTGAGGAGAATTTTTTTTTATTAACACAGAGTTATTTTCTAGACTTTAAAGGAGTAGTTCACTTTTAAAAAAACTTTTGCTGATAATTTACTCACCCCCATGTCATCCAAGATGTCCACGTCTTTCTTTCTTCAGTCGGTTTTTGATGAAAACATTCCAGGATTTTCGCTATATAATGGACTTCAATGGGGTCCAAACTGTTCAAGGTCCAAAAGACAGTTTCAGTGCAAACTGCAAACTGTTCAAAGGGCTTTAAACGATTCGAGGCGATGAATAAGAGTCTTATCAAGTGAAACAATCACTCATTAAAAAAAAAAAAAACAAAGTTTAAGTTTTATAAGCTCAAATGCTTGCCTTGCTCTGTTCTGTGATGCGCGTTCGTGACTCTCCTGTTCGAACTCGTTCATCAAAATGAACGAATCTTTTTCAAGTCAGTTTGTTCATTTCCTTCGTTGAATGAACCAAATCCCTTTAAAGCCTTTTGAACAATTTGCAGTTTGCACTGAAAGTGTCTTTTGGACCTTGAACTGTTTGGTTCCCATTGAAGTCCATTATATGGAGAAAAATCCTGGAATGTTTTCATCAAAAACCTTAATTTCTTTTCGACTGAAGAAAGAATGACATGGACATCTTGGATGACATGAGGGTGAGTAAATTATCAGCAAAAGTTTTTTTTTTTTTTTTTAAGTAAACTACACATTTAAATAACTATTTTACACAAATATATTTACATCCTGGTTAAATTGAATAGTTGTAACATTAACAATTGCAGTCAAAAATGGGTCTTATCCTCTGTGCCATATGGGGTGGTGATGGCGCAGTGGATAAGACACATGCCTTTGTTGTGAGAGACCCGGGTTCGAATCCACTGTGAGCAAGACACTTAACCCCTAGTTGCTCCAGAGGCATGCGACCTCTGATATATATAGCAATTGTAAGTCGCTTTGGATAAAAGCGTCAGCTAAATGAATAAATGTAAATGTAAATATTTCTGTATATTAAGGGTAAACGGCTGACATACAGTAGGACACACACAACTTTAAACTCACCTTTGCGATCTGCACGCACCAGTTCAACAGAGTTTGTGAGCCGATATTATCCTTATTCTCCCGTACGTAATCCAGCAGGCACCCGAAAGGCATAATCTGGGTAATGAGCTGGACGTTAGACGTGAGACATATTCCCAACAGACGACACACGTGAGGATGATCCACACCGGCCATCACATATGCCTCCTGAAACATCAAAACACAAGTTTTACATGCAATGTTATTTTTAGGGATAATTGTTAATCATTAGCAAACATAGGCACGATACCCACATCCAAGATCTCTTTGTTGGCTTTGGGAGATGCGACCTCCCTCAAAACTTTGATAGCAACAGGAATTTTCACACCCTCACCCTCTGGAATCCACAATCCCTAAGAGGAAAAACAGGTAAGAACCTCCATGTTGACTGAGCATTTTTTAAGCTCTCAACTTCTGTCGTGTAAAACAGGAAATTCAGTAGAAAATATAGTGTGTTTGTGTCCATTTTGGTGTACTGTTGACTTTAAATGTTCTTATACATCAAAACTTAACTGGAGTGTGTTTTTTATTCATAAAAATGTACCTTAAAGACTGTGCCAAATGCTCCAGACCCGAGGACTTTTATTTTCTTCAGTTCTGTTTCCTTTAGGATGCGAAGGAGCGCCTGGTTGGGAGCTTCACCACTGGGAGTCAACGGTTCCACCAACTGCAGAATCATGTAAATATAGTTAGATTGGGGTTTCATTCATTGAAGGAGTTTAATCTGTTATACACTTTTGGGGCTTGCCTCTCTCTCCTGAAGGAGGCGCCGTAGAGTTCTCTTTCGTCGGATGTGTCGTCGGCGGAAGATGACGAAGATGAGAAGGATGAGGACCATAATCATCAGCATGACTCCGACAATGCCAGCCGCCACTACAGGCATGTGAGAGCTAGAGAGAGCAAATCAGGTCATTTACCTTCGTAAACACATTTAAAATGAGTCCTCTGAACTTAAAGTCAGCAAATTAAACCACATTTGGGACCCTTTTTACTTGAAACTCTGATATTCAACAGGTAAAAACTTTACTCTTACTTTTACAGCGTTTTATCTAATGACTTATGTAGTTTATGTAGTCTAGTAACAAAAACCAATAAACTACGGTACCCTTTCGGTTCACATCCTCCCAGTCCTGGCCCACTGCACCTATAATAACAAACATTTTAAAATTACTGGTAGTCTTCATTTTGTGACCCCATCATTGTATTGTATTTCTGCTTGTTTAAACCAACTGGATTCTGTTAACCACAAACCAAAATATAAATAATAATACTTATTTTAATTCAAATAATGTTTGTGGAAACACTAGAATAATTATAATATATCAGTTAGAATAGAATAATTATAATATATATATATCATAATATATCATTTATAATATATCATATAATTATATTATTTGAAAATTATAATATATAATACACTAGAATCATTATAATATATCAGTAAAAAATAATAATAGTTATTGGATAATAATGATTATAGTTATTTAGTAAGGATTATCTTGTTCCTACCCTTGCGTGCAGTTAGAATGGCATGGCTGACACTGTCCGGTTTTGTCTGGGTATGTCCACACGAGTCGGTTATTAACGCCTAGCACACCTTGAGCACACTGTGTGACGCAGTGCGACCCATCTTTAAAGTGAGCACATTCAGTGCACTGATCGGCTCCCTAGAAAGCGAGAAACAGAAAACAACATTCACATTGCAACGCTTTGATAGGTCTGACCTCTTACCATTATTAGTTTACACACAGATTTGGTCATTTTCTGACGAATATGTGAGGGATTTTTTTTGCAAGTTTGATTTGATTTTTTGCAAGTTTGATTGAAAAGTGATAGCACACCTCCCCTCAACAAGCCGTGTGATTTTAGGTGTCACTGATGATTTACACCATCAAGTTAGGGTTAGGAGTTTGCTCAGATCCCTTGTTTAGATCCCTAGCTAGTGTGAGCAAGCATCATAGGGGCATTGAAAGATACATACGACACATACCGGCCCAGAGCAGCTTGATGTCCCGTTCAGAATCTTGCATTTAGGGTCACATTCCAAGCACACGTTCTCTGAGATGAACTCTCGGGGCTCTCTGTAGAAACATTGATAATACAATCACAGAAATACACAGAATACAAATAGATTTTTAAAGATCTTTCACAAGTTCACATTTCTATATAATCAGATTTTACTTTACAGAACCAAAGAGTCCCCAAGCTCCCCCCATGTATATATTCTCAGTATTTTTTAACACATCTATAGTTATGTGGTGACACACTGGCTGCGTGGCGGGATCTCAGCTACGTGGCGTGTCCGTTTTTATTTTTCGGCTCCCATGTTAACAGGTTAGAGCTTGCAGACTGCCTGAGTGACACGCGCGGCTTACGCGGAAAACGTGTGCATGCTAGAAATAGAAACGACGCCTATTTTTCGCCTATTTTTCTATTGTTGGAAGCGTTTCCAGGTAAAATAGAATAGGAAAAGATGTTTATATGTTATTTTGTACACAAATACATTAATAAATTACATTTTGATGATTGAAAGTCTAGGTTTTGACATGCATTCAGATATAAATATAATTTAAAAATAAATACATAAATAATTATCCATTGTAGCCCTCAAACCGTATTCACTTTATAGCCCTTAATCCTGTAATTGTGGACAAATATGGGCACAGAGGACTCAGGTGTGATCCTAATTTATATTTATTAGAAATGTTATATCACTGTCTTCGATAAAGTTTTGTCTATCCATTTATGTTTTGTTTTTTTTATTTGGGGGTATTTTTGAATTTATTTACTTCAAAAAGTACCATATTTTCTATGTAAATTATGCTTATTATTTATTTATTTATTTATTTTTATCTACATTAAAATATCATTCCAATAAGTTCTTAGAGCTAAAACCTAAAGATGAAGTGACTTTGCTGTCACCTGGTGTCTTATTTTGGCTTATTTTAGAATGCTCTAAATTACAGTTTTTCCCCATTCATTTCTATGGGTGCCCATTTTTGACCCAAATACAAGAAGAGTTTGTTTTTTTCACCCACTTAACATTGTAGAATTGAGTCCAAAAAATTGTGTGTGTTCGGGAGGCAAACTTAGGAAAAGCAGCCAAGTCTTGTACCGCTCAGATCAAGGGAAGTATTTTTAAAAATAAATCAAAACTATTTTGCCCACATTTGTCCAGAATACGGTTTTAGGGTTAAAATATAGCACCTGTCAATACAGAACGAAATTTTCTGTGGTCTATTTTGCTGTGAATACTGCTGACAGTGTTTTTATCAGTATATTCATGCTTAACGTTGTAAAGTTGACAACATTGCCATAACAAACTGTGAGATATGGAAACGTGGGTTTTCAAGAGGTGGAAAGTAAAAGGCTACATTTAACACAACAAACCTGAGGTGTCAAATGTTAAAATGAGGCGAATTAAATAAAAAATAAGCAACATTCTGGAATCTGGATCTGGTTTTTTTTTTTTTTTTTTTTCGCTCTTCTTTAGTCTTTTTTCTGTTATGATAGAAGTATCGGATCGGGACTCGGTATCGGTAGATCCTCAAAATCAAATGACTCTGACTCGGGCAAAAAAACCTGATCAGGACATCCCTAAAAACTATATTACCCATGATGCTGTGCAGAAAATTCCACCAAAGCAAGCAAATCACATCAAAAGAGCTTGCAGAAAATGGGAACTCCCATGAGCCACATAAAAGTACATAATCATACATAATAATTGTCTTGGTTCATGTTCTTAAAATGCTTTAACAAAGACTTTTATCAAATCCCTATGGAAAAATAGAAAGGAAAAAATACTTCCAGAACCAAATCTGCTGAAAAAGTTGGCGAGCACAAATGCGCTATTAACCCACGAAGGAACATGCAAACTCAAACATCTGATATTATGCATATTACATTAAATTTAACAATGAATATACTTTCTACTTTTTTTTAATCATAAGAAAACAACTTGTCAACATTTAATTCGTAAATGAGCAGCATTCGTGCAAAAAACCTTAGAGAGATGTTAAATGGGCTAAATGTTGGACACTTACCCATTCAGCAGGTTGCAGTGACTGACACAGCGCTCGCCACGGCTTACGTGCTGACAGGAGACACACATGGACGGCCCCGGACCCCAGCAGCCTTCCTCTCCACACATGCTGTCACAGGTATTGTTCTGCTGCTCTGAAGAGCAAACAAGAGATTCTGTGACCTGACATGACTAATTAGTTGTGTAAAATTAAAATACAAAATATGTGAATCCAGTCCCGCACCACAGGTGTGCATTGCTGCGTTGTTTCCAGTTCGAATACGTTGTTTCTCAGATCTGAACAGCTTTGACCAGTAGCTGCCGTCAACGTAACAGAGTCGGCGGTTGTTTTTGATCACCACGTCGCCATCACTGATCTCCTTCAACGAACGCAGGCCGAGATGTTCCAGGTTTGTGATGTTTATGGCGGCAAAACTGACGGTGTTGCTGCATTTGTGGGTGATGTAAAGAGACGAACACTGGTTAAAGGTGAAGTGTGTCATTTTTATAATATAAAAAGGTTTGATATGCAGAGAACATCAGTTATTTGTAAGTTGACACGATTGAACTCACTGTTTTGTTCTTCCTCTGATGATCTCCAGGTTCTCAAAGGGACTGAGGGATTTGAGGTGTTTAGGCCAGTCTTGGATTAACAGAAACCCTGAGAAAAATTAAATAAGTTTGCTATATTGCTATATAAGGTTTTATTTACCTTTCCTCAAAAACATATTCAAATTGTGTGTTTATGTATTAATATGTCTGTGTGTATATGTGTAAATACACAGACATGTACACACACACACATATATATATATATATATATATATACACAATCAAATAGTATATATGAAGAGTTCAGATGCAAAAGCCTCTAAGTGCCATTTGAAATTTTCTTCTAGAATGATCATTTTTATCAAGCTTGTATATTTAAGTTCAGTAATTTCACTTAAATGGCAAAGATAATTACCTATTAATTGTTATTTAAGTGAAATTACTGAACTTAAATATACAAGTTTGATAAAAATCATCATTAAAGAAGAAAATTTCAAATGGCATTTAGAGGCTTTTGCAATCCGAACTCTTCATATATATATATTTTTTTTTTAAATGTTTATTTGTAGAATATAAAAATATATATATTATATCTGTATATAGTTGTACCTGATATTTCTTTGACTGTTTTGAAATAGTCGAGTTTCAAAGGGTCCATGCTTGAAGTATTTGTAAAATTATCCCTTTAAAAACATTTGTTAAAAAAGGCATTGGGTTTATTAATGCAATACATTACAAACAGTTGATTCTGTAGTCCATAAAATCTCACCCTTGAAAAGTCGTCTTCATTATTGTAATGTGCCCATTTATTTTGGTGCAGTTGATAAATGAATCAATGTTGGTCGCGTTGACTGCGATGGTGTTAACAAGCGCGCCCGTTCCGAGACCATTACAGACTAAACCAAAACACAGGGTCAAATCAGTTCACATTTCATGTAAATACTGTATTTTAGAAATGACAAGAAAATCACAATTATTTTTTATTATTAATGATGTTACCGACCTTTTGGGCACAAGCCGTCACACTGTTTGCACTTCCTTATGCCGTTCTCCTCCACTTCATGCATGTTACTGCTGCAGGTCCGAACGCAGGCATCGTGATCGGTCACCACAAAGTTGTCTGGAGCAGAAAGAGGAGTTTGCAGTCATGTTTCAGACAGTTAAATATCAATACTGACACAAATTAGACAATTTGCATGCAGTAAGAGATATAAAATAGTATACCTTAGATCATTTGGTCTTGAGAGGATTTGAGGAGAAATAAGTAATTCTAAATTTTTGAATGCAGGCTTTGACATGAAGGACAGTTTAAGATGATAGCTATGTTTCCATCCACCTATTTGTATGTGCATTTTGTGATATTGCATTAAAAAAACCCTGAATAAATTCAAAAAATGCACATAAGCTTATGCTCAATTAAGGCAGATAAAAAAAATGTATCTGATAAGAAGACATGCACATAAACCACGATGGAAACACATTTACCCAATAAATACCCAAATAAACTCATGTGACTTTGCCTCAACAGTGGATGTGATTTGATAATTATTGCACAACATCTTTAAATTTTGGTTTTATCATTCTGAAATTAAAGGTTTATTTGGTATAATGACCTCCTAGGGTCTCCCATAATTGCATCCTAAAATAACATGACCACGTTTATTGCGATTCGTCTGTGTGCTCTGAGACAAGTCATTTATAATGCAGAATAACAGAGCCACAGTGGCTTACGGATATCATATGCAAATTTCCCAGGAAGTAACGATTTTATTGTCTTGAACACATGGAAATGCTTCTTTATTCGCAAATTTTTTATGCGATTTTGCACTGAAGTTAAATTGGAAACATGGTGTTGACATCTCTTCAGAAATTACAGAGGAGACACGTAAGATTGCTGCGGTCTTGGCAATATATGAAGAGTTCAGATGCAAAAGCCTCTAAATGCCATTTGAAATTTTCTTCTTTAATGATGATTTTTATCAAACTTGTATATTTAAGTTCAGTAATTTCACTTAAATAACAATTAATAGGTAATTATCATTGCCATTTAAGTGAAATCACTGAACTTAAATATACAAGCTTGATAAAAATCATCATTAAAGAAGAAAATTTCAAATGGCATTTAGAGGCTTTTGCATCTGAACTCTTCATATGTTTTAAATACATTATTTACTTATATTTATTAATAGCTACACAATTCATTCCCTAGGTCATCCCTAGGTGTTTCCCTTAAATAAACCTTGACTTCAGAGAACTTCCAGTACTTCTTTGTTTACATAGTGCATAACCTCTGGGTGTGTCTTTGCTTGTATTTGCTAACATAACTTATTAAAGACTAGTGTTATTTTTTGCCTCTGGATAATGTGGATGGTTGTTATACACAATAGCATTGAGCCAGTAAACCTCCATGACTTGTGCGGCTCTTATATTTACAAACTAAAGGTTTTAAAGGAAAGAATTATCTCCTCTTGTTAAAGGGATCTTAATGATCTCAGGCGTATGAAAGCAAACTTACAGGGGCATTTCTTCACACAGGTGGCACCAAAGTTGTACTTCCCGTTGGGATTGGGAACAAGTTGGTGATTGTTGGGGTCATACAGCATTAGACGTGGACACGCATCCTTGCACGTCCCGTCATCCTGGAAGTCTCTGCAGGCCTGCAGAAGAAGAGATGCGACAAGGTACTGAATAACTGTAAATTGATTTTAAAAATGAAATAAAAAATTTTGGTGATTAGAATTGATGATTAGAATTTGGCAAAAATAAGTGTGAAATATTAAGAATACAAATAAAATAAATATTTAAAGGGGTGATGAACTGAGAAATCAAATCTTCCTTGAGCTTTTGACATCTAAGAGGTCATCATATTATAAGAATATCCTGTAAGTTTCAGAGCTGAAAACGTCCTTGTTAGTCCAATAAAAGCTTTTATTGACACCAGTGCCAAGTCTTCAGTGCAAGACGCCCATTAAAAGCGAGCGTTTTTCAGCTAGGCTCAAAACTAGGGTAAAAAAAAGCCCATTACTTATTCATTTTGATGTTTTTGAATGAAAAAACCTAGCAAACATCATAAGTTGACCTCAGTTGACCTAATAACATTTAAAAAGCCAGTTCATGACCCCTTTAAACTGTTAAATAAGTAAATATAATAATAACCTTAACAATATATATATTTTAAATATTAAAATAAAGTATAAAACATATTTTCTTTGTAGGTTTAACCCAATCAGCAGGTATAAGATTGGTAAATATGCACACAGTATGTTTATTTGTCATGTATCTTGTGTTAAACTTATAAAAAACATATTTAAAATGTTAGACCTTTATCTTTTATGATGGTAAGACACCACTCACCAGGCAGTCTGTGGCTCGGGGTCCAGTGCAGCCCGCAGCGCAGTGTTCACTGCAGCAGTCGGAGGGTTTGGGACCCCGGCACCTCCGCGAGCACTGCTCGGCACAGTTCAACCGAGTCACTGACAAAGACCACCAAAGAACCTTAGTTAGGACATTGTTCACTCACACATATGCCTTTGGAGAATGCCTTTTATCTACAATTGAATTTACAGGTCTGGCAGTTCTCTGGTCCTGGAGCCCAACACGATCCATTAAAGCACGCTGAGTCACATCCCGTGCCTGAGGTAATGAAGAAAGCCTTTATTATTTTATTTTGTGTTACATTTAACATTATCAAGTATTTTTATGCTCACCAAGGCTGCATTTATTTAATAAAAACTGTTAAAAACAGAATTATCTGAAATATTACAAATTAAAATAACTGTAAAATGTAATCCAGTCTTCAGTGTCACATGATTTGCTGCTCATGAAGAATAATTTTATATTATGTTGAAAATAGTTGTGCTGCTCAATACCTATCTCAGAAATTGTGAGTCTTTCAGGATTCTTAGATATCTAAAAAAGCAGCATTTATTTGAAATATTAATTTTTTGTAACATTACAAATATCCACATGGCTTTATTTAATGCATCCTTGCTAAAATAAAAGTATTCATTTTCAAAAAACTTAAAGGGATACTCCACTTTTTTTGGGAAATAGGCTCATTTTACAACTCCCCAGAGTTAAACAGTTGAGTTTTTACCGTTTTCGAATCCATTCAGTCGATTTTTTGATATTTTGAAGAATATCAGTAACCAGACAGTTTCTGGTCTCATTGACTTCCATAGTATATTTTTTTCCTACTATGGAAGTCAATGCGACCAGAAACTGTCTGGTTACTGATATTCTTCAAAATATCAAAAAAAATCGGCTGAATGGATTTGAAAACGGTAAAACCCAAATGTTTAACCCTGAGGGAGTTGTAAAATGAGCCTATTTCCAAAAAAAGTGGAGTATCCCTTTAAGGAACCCAAACTTTTGAATATAGCTTATGATAAAGCATATGTTTCAGTTTTTAAAACTTTAAATACTTACACAGAGGGACGGTGTCTCTCTGTAAATGCACCTCACTGCCATCCTGCACAATGTCCAACCATTGTATGGTCTCCACATTGCAAAGCAAATTATTGTGAGATATTTTAACCCCGCCTTTAAGAATTTCTGTCAAAAAAAGAGAGAAAAACAGTTCTCTGTAAATAGAAAATGTAGCTATAGGGCTGAAAAAGCAACGAGCCTGTGTTGAATGTTGTTTACAACACATTGCGGTGCTTATCGATGCGTAAATCTGCTTTTCATTTGTAGTGAAAGTCGATTCGGATAAAAGCATCTGCCAAAATAGTAAATGAAATGTGCTTCTACCTGTGAGGCTTCTCATGCGCAGCTCCCTCAGGCCGTACTCTGAAGACTCATTCTTGTGGTAGTTTGCCAATAGAGCAAAGGCGTACTTGCCATCATAGAGAGAATGTCCTCGAATGAGGCGTAGGTTTACCAATGGTATCACATCCACGTAGTTTATTCCTATTAGAACGTAGCCACCAACTTCTTCGATACTCTGTGGGTGTGAAACAGAAAGAATAGTGTAGTCAGACCCCCTAAATCCCATTTTAAAAGTCTCAGATTTGTTTGTTCTACCTTCAGTCTGTTAGGAAACCTATAATGCCCTTTTTCAAACCTTGATTTGGTTTTGGGGTCTACTAGAAGTTTTCTAAAAAAATTATTTTTCCACATATTTTACATTATTGCAGCACCTGTCTTCCCAGTCTGTCAGTAATGCTCTGGGCTGTTTTTCCCAAAAGCATCATAAGCCTAAGTCAATCTAAGATAGCATTGGTGGAAATTGTTTTTCAATCACCTTACGTTTACGATGCTTTTGGGAAACGCAGCCCTGTTTATTTCTGGTCTCTATGAAGCCCCGCCTTCCAAAAAGCTTTCCTCTGATTGGTCGACTGGACCAGTCTGTTGTGATTGGCCAGCCGATTCAAGTGTGTTTTGGTAATGTCACACCTCTTACCCTAACCGTGAGTTTCAACACACTACTACCTAACTCAACCAGGCCTCGTTCTTTTAATTTAATATATGCCTTAGGCAGGAATATTGTATTTAAATGAGGAATATAGTGACGCAGAGCCATATATGCAACCGGATATGGCTTCGTGCCACTAGGGGGCCTCGCAATCATGCCTAAGTGGGTTTTTCATAGGGCTGTACATAGATATCCATAATAAAGGCTAGATGTCTCGTCTGCGCTGCTGGCCAATGGAGGTGAACGTCTGCACCTGGCGGCCATCTTGTCACAGGCAACTCACTCACTCGTAACATTGTGTTTTAATGGTGCGTTTACTTTTAAAATAACCATAACTTGCTAAATTTTTGACCGATTTTCAAACAGTTTGGCTTGTCATAAACGTCAGAGATGTAATTATGACAATGCATACTTATGAATAATAAGCATATAAATAAATAATTATCCAGAATTATAGCCACGTTAATAACGTTTTTAAGAAACCAAACTGTTTGTAAATCCGTCAAGATTTCAACGTGATAAGAGTATTTGCTGATCACTCCTTACATCAGGATCCACAGAGCTCGGCAGAAAGCTTGCCTGTGACAAGATGGCCGCCAGTGATGACGATAGAGACTCGCCATAAGACATCTAGCCTTTACTATGGATATCTATGGGGGTGTAATCTCCCAGTCGATTTATTGGTCGATACGTTCTGGATCAACCAAAATTCAGGTGGAAAGCACTAATTTCTAACAGGGGTTTAGCAATAATTAGATCTTACTTAACATAAAAAGCAGCCTTTTAACCAATTAGCAGTCTATAACCAATTAGTAGTCAATGATATAGTCTTATACTGTAATTGTATATTTAGGTAGCCATTTTATTATACCGGCACGGCACGTGATGTCACTCACCATGAGAAAAGAGAGGTCGTGGTACTCCTGGATGTTGGTTATCTCCAGGTTCTCCAGCACTATTGTGCAGTTACTGTACATGCGCACCATGGACCTGTAGTGGTCGTCTGGCTGTGCCAGCTGAGTCAGCTTATTATTGGTTCCCTGACATACTGGAGAATAAAGCAGAGGTGAAATCAATCAATACTCAGGAAGTGAAGGTGATTTGACAGAAAATACAGAAAATAAGCAAAAATGGTAATTCTTCGATTTCAATTCAATTTTATTTGTATAGGGCTTAATGCATATCATTTAACAGCAGCTTTACAGAAAATGCATGTCTAACTTACAAGAGTGATCTGTTATCAGATGTGACTGTGTCCAAGTAATGTATTTCAGAAATGTACAGTACATATACAAATCACAGGTAGCTAACACCATGTATTCATTTTTTTGGGCAGTGTACTCATTGAGATAATGACTACAAGTTGATGATTGATACAGTATTGATTCAGATATGATCCTTCATATGTCCACTTGCATCCATTGCTATGTTAATCTTGGTTATTGAATGCTGCAACATGATTCTCAGATAGCGCTTACTTTTAATCTCAAAATAAATATTTTCCATCAATCAACAAGATGATATGACTGTTTAAGATGAGAATGAATGAAAAGCATCAGTTAATGTGTCATTAATTGCAAAAATCATGAGTCATGACACATTACCCACTTACCCACACATTACCCACTTGCAGCACCATGAACCTGTAACTGTAATGTCAGACTATTCCATGTGTCAAAATATCTTTTGTTGTGTTCCAGCGAAACATCTTCATACAAGTCTGAACAGACATGAGGGTGATTCTTCATTTGTTGGTAAACTACAGTATACCTCAAAGACACGGCCTAAAGCTGTTCCACTTTAGAGCCCTTGTCATTGTTCACAGTAACATGAGCTCATCTCATGCACTAAACACACTAAACCTAGATCATATTTCAATTATCTAACAATTTCCACATGGTTTCCTAAACATAAAATTCTGTTTGCATATTTTACATAGTGTGATCTTCTATTGTACTTTCCAAAACTCATTGTATTGTGCATCATAGTGGATTACAAGTGTTTTTGTCCCTGCTGTGCTGTCTTTCCCATGGCATACAGGTGTTGAATTCCTGCAGCCATCGTTAGGTGTCTCATCTCCAGTGGAGGAGGAAATTCTGTGGGCGGGAACTCCGTGATCAAGAATGTGGTTCACAGAGGGTGAGTCTCAAATATTGCACACAAGTGTTGCTCAACATAAGAACCGGTTGAATTCTTGCCTGCCACGTGCAAGAGACATGGATTGTATTGCCAGTCAGTCATCTATTTTCCCGCAGGGATTGATCAAGTTTCTAAAGGGAGGCCAGGGAGATTTGTTTTAGACTCTGTTCCAAAAACTTGCGTGCATCCTAGCTATAGCACTTGACGTCATCTGAGGCATGCCTGACAGGAAGGCTGTTCCAAAAAAGTAGCCGCATAATTATGTTGTGTTCTAATAATGCATTCACATCATTATGAGTTTCCGTTCTCTTCTTTGCCGTTCCCCTAATAACAAGTTGGAATTTGATCAAATCTCTGATTTGATCGTCATGTCATGTATCTATGAAGAACCATAATGGGAGCAGCCGCTACACAGTGGCTTTAAGTACTATGTACTTGCATTGAAATTAATAATTTGATACAATGGACTTGTTGTGTACATACATTTTTTTACATTGTACTTATATTTTAAAAATACCAGCATGTAATTACAGCTATAATTACATTCGGAATTACACAGTTGACCCTCCCCTCACACCTACCCTTATTAAACCGACCCATACCACCACACCTGTCCCTAACCTTACCCGTATCACACCTCAATAGCAGCAAAAGTGTTTTACAATACAACAGGAACACAATAATACATTGTACTTATTGTTCAATGTAAGTACATAGTATGTAAAGCCACTTAATATAAAGCGGGACCCATATTTTTTAAAGCAAAATTCAAATTGTATTATATCCCGTGTTACCTGGTGGACATTATCTTAAACAATTAAATTCTTAGTTCTTAAACAATTTGCAAGAGCATATAGAGGTAAATCTGTTTCATAATTATTTTACAATGTTTATTTGCACAACTAATTAAATATATAAAAAATCTTAATTAGCATATGCAGAAATTAACATTAAAATGTTTGGGGTCTGTAAGATTTTTAAAAATGTTTTTCTCTTCTGCTCACCAAGGCTGCATTTATTTGATCAAAAACAGTAATATTGCAAACTATTATTATAATTTAAAATTAAATATATTAAACACTTTAATAACAGTTTAACAGTATAAATAAATTAATATATTAAATATATTTAAACAATTGCAAAGTTGAATTTTAAGCTTTTTCATCATTACCCTAGTTGTCAGTGTCACATGATCCTTCAAATCATAATATGTTGATTTTGTACTTAAGAAAAAGCATTTATTTTTGAATAGAAATCTTTTGTAACAATGTAAAAGTCTTTACAGTCACTTTTGATCAATTAAGGCATTGATGCTGAGTAAAAGTATTAATTCTTCTTTTTTTTATTAATTTTTTTTTTATTAAAAATGTACAGATCCCAAACCTCTGACCATGTTATACATATACAGTATATATATATATATATATATATATATATATATATATATATATCATGCAAATGTGAAACTCTATTGGAATCAATAGTAAGTCCAGTCTCACATGCTCAAGGAGTGTTATTTTTGAGTTGCCGCCAATAGTGTGTTTCAATTCAATCATCTACGAGGCTCTGTTTCAATGTGGTCTTTGAAGACATCTGCCTATGTAGACATTAGACAGACAGGCAGCTCACTGGGGTTTGGAACAGAGCTAGTGTGTAGTAAAACGTCACTTAGAAATGGGGTTGAATATTTGGCTACAGGTTCATTCTGTCTTAACTGAGATTTTTGAAAGCTTGATCACAAAAGAACCATGAAGCTGAACAAATAATATTATAATGAATGGTGTTTTTTTTTTTTTATTCTTCCCTACATGACAGCGCACATGAAGGGTATTTCCACTTTTGCAAAATTAGCATTTTTGAGATCAGTCAACACTTTGGAAACATAGTCCTACGTGTTCTGTGAGATGTGAGATGGACAGAACCAACAAACATTTAAAACTCTCAGCTCTTGCATAAATTACCTTCTGAAAATCCAGCTTGCCTAATTTAATCAGTGTTGTGGCATTAGTTGTCAAAAAAACAAAGAAAGAATCAGGCCCTAGACTAGAGCATCCACATATCTGCCCTAGGGTAGATTTCAACTAAAGATAAAGGTCAGGCATGAAGTAGATTTAGGTTTTTAGCCCTTAACGATCCCTTCACAGGCCACTAACATGTGAGATTGTTAACAGATTGCAAAACATGCAGCTGTTTTGTAGGGGCGGCTGTTTAGCAGCGGTGCCTCAGGCTTGAGCCCAAACCAAGGGATGTGACTGAACAGGTTGCTCCTTGAAAACAATATTTATGAAGGAACATCTTAACTCCCTCATTACGTCACATCAAACCATCAGGAACAACATTCGGATCATTATAAACTCAAGTTTTAAGTTGGGTTTAAGTCAGGTTTGGTTTATTTATATAGTGCCATTAAAACAGCAGCAGGTGACAAATGTGCTTTAACTCAGGTGTTTTATCTTTTGCAATTGATGCAACGCATGCACAAGGGTTATCAAGACTCCATCAGTGCAAAGAAACAGAAGTCAAATAAATCAACCTGTCATTTCCTGACTGAAACAAAACCGCCTTTCATATTTTAGCCCCAAAATGTACACTATACTACTACGGAAGCGTATCGCATAAAAAAATCGACTCTGTTTTTTCTGAATTAATGAGTTCATTATCTCAGAATTACTGTTCGGTTTTTAGCCCTTGTTTGGGCTAAAAGTTTGGAGTCAAAATTTGGGCTAAGTAAGATTTTTTTTTTTTTCTTAAAGAAACTAATACTTTAAATGAGCATGGATGCGTAAAAGTTACCGTCAGCACATTTCTAAAGTTCAAATATTTCTATTTGACATGAATGCTGTTCTTTTGTACTTTCTATTCATCGAAGACTGAAAAAAAAGTCTCACCAACTAAAAATATGAAGCAGCACAAATGATTTCAGAAACTTCTCTCACGCATGGCTGATCTACTTAAGTACAGGGGTGCACAGGGTAGAAATAATGATGATAGATTAATTATGAGATAACCTGGGATCATCTCAAGGCTGTCAGCGCATATAATTTATTTTTACAAGGCCAGTTGTTCCCATGCTTTCCCATCCTTAATTTATTACCTACGGCTTTCTCTGCTCTATTTTTCTTATTCTTATGCTGCCATTTCTCACTGCTTATAATTGTATATGCTTTGGGTGACAGTAAAACATTGAGATGATGTATTTCCTTTGTTACCTTTTGAAACCACAGTTATTAAATATAATAGAGGCTGCTACTGTTTTACAAAAATAAAATCCGATGCTTCCGATATCTAGCACACTTAATCACGTTGAAAGTGTTTATATTCTCTTCTTCTTTCCCTATATTCTCTATAATTTCTTGGGCAGAATCTAGATTGTTGTGTCAGTGAGTGGTAGTCACACAGCTTATATTTAGTTATTTTGTTTAGTGTTTGGGCTACAAACTACATGCACTGTAACCTTGTTTTCTGACAGATGTCAGTGTATCTTGACTGAGTTTGATTGTGGGCATACTGGATACTGTTTGTAGAGTAAGTTTGCGTAAAAAGTATCGATCCATATGAGCACAAAAAGTCAACAGCATTTGTCATGACGCATCCTGTTTTCCATCTGATAGTCTTTCCAGGAATACACCTAAAGGGAAATCTTATTTCTGTGTTGGTACATGTATATTGGGAATATTCAAACCTTTTAGCCTGGAAACCCACATTTTCACATATCTTGAATTTTATATATTGAATGATTTCCAATTGGTTGATCTGAAGTTGGTGACAAAAGTTATTTTGAATCTTCAAAAAAACATATTTTCCCCAAGTTGAGGCTCCAGTGTTTCATGCTTGTGTTTTACCGATTTTAAGACACAAGATCTGATGCGATGACATCATAATAGAGGTATTTTACAGTACAAAATTGTTTAAATATTCTTGAAAAGCAATATAACTGGTTGTCAATTTGAAAGTAGCAGTTTCACATGATTGTGCTTCTTGCATCTTCTGTTTTTCTTTACCGTGCGTGACAGTTCGCTGTTGTCACCCTAAATGAGAGACATGTGGATAAATACCTTCTAACTGAATTGCAGTAAATACAATTTCAGAGGGAAACAAAGACGTCTCACTCCATGGCTGTGTGCTTTTTATACAAAAACCGTCTGTCTAAATCAAATGAGTATCATATTGTCTATTTGTGACCTATCCATCAAAATTCAATATGATGAATTCAGCTCTTTGTCTATGGGGCAATTCGCTGACTGCAAAAGTAAAAACACGGCATGACCACTGCATTTGGTAAACAACATGAGACATGCATTTTAGTATATTAAAATATTTTGATGAAGAAGACATATATTAATGAAATGTAGCAGGTAAACACTTTATTTAGATATTGCACTTTAGACATTCTATAACTATAAGTAACTTTGCAACTAGCAGTCATTATAGTATTAGTAGACTGTCTGCTAACACTTTATTTTGTGCTTCCCAAAAGACATTATACTGACTATAAGTAACTCTGTAACTTCTGGTACGTTTACATGACAACGATGTACTAAAAATGGAAAATTTGTTCCTTTGAGTTTTCTTCTTTTTTTTTTTTTTTTGGTACGTTGTCAAAACCCCGTTCACACGTATCCACAAAAACTATTAAAAATGCTGTATTAAAGGAGTAGTTCACTTTTAAAAAAAAAAATTGCTGATAATTTACTCACCCTCATGTCATCCAAGATGTCCATGTCATTCTTTCTTCAGTCGAAAAGAAATTAAGGTTTTTAATGAAAACATTGCAGGATTTTCTCCATATAATGGACTTTAATGGCAACCAAACGGTTCAAGGTCCAAATGAGAGTTTCAGTGCAAACTGTTCAAAGGGCTTTAAACAATTCCAGACGATGAATAAGGGTCTTATCAAGGACCCTTCGAGTCATGACTCGAAAAAAGATTTTGATGAACGAGTTTGAACAGGAGAGTCACGAAAGCTCATCACAGAACAGAGCAAGGCGAGTATTTGTGCTTATAAAACTTAAAAATTTTTATTTATTTTTTAAATGACAGTTTGTTTCACTAGATAAGACCCTTTTTCATCGTCTGGTGTTGTTTAAAGCCCTTTGAAGCTGCACTGAAACTCTCTTTTGAACCGTTTGGTTCCCATTGAAGTCCATTATATGGAGAAAATCCTGGAATGTTTTCATCAAAAACCTTAATTTCTTTTCGACTGAAGAAAGAAAGACGTGGACATCTTGGATGACATGGGGGTGAGTAAATTATCAGCAAAAGTTTTTTTAAAAGTGAACTACTCCTTGCCAGGCCAGTTAGTTGGTGACGTCACTTTGTAAAGAAACACTACTTGCCTACATAAAGATGCGCATGATGTCACGGTTTCACAAATTCGCGTTTTTCTAGTTTTGGTTTCAAAAACTGGCAAAACTCGCTTTCAAAAGTTTGCCAGTTTTTGAAACCACAAAATGGCTTCGTTGTGTAAATGAACGGCCGGTTTTTATTTGCCACCAGGCAAACAAATGCTAATTTGAATGCTCAGAAAACAGCAGCACACCTCTCCTCAACAAGTCTCATGATTAAGCTTGATCTACATGGGCTGCTGTTTTCAAAATAAACACGCTTGCGTAAATCCTCAAGGCTATGGCCTTGGTTAATCGTGGTTTGTAAATTATAACATCTCATAATCCTCTTCTGCTCACCAAGGCTGCATTTATTTGATCAAAACAGTAATATTGTGAAATGTTATTACAATCTGTTTTCTCTCTTTTGATATACTTTAAAACAGCATTTATTCTTGTGATGTCTGAATTTTCGGCCTCAGTACTCCAGTTTTAAATGTCACATGATCCTTCAGAAATCATTCTAATATGCTGATTTGCAGCTTCGTATTTTTGTGGAAACCGTTATACATTTTTTCAGAATTATTTGATGAATAGAAAGAACAGAAGAATTTATTGAAAATAGAACGATATAAAAGTCTTTAAGGTAACACTTCCAAAATTTCCGTGTAAACAATGAGTGATGTACACGCGCGAAAGATTACTTGCGCAGACCGAAGCGCCCTCAGATCACTTGGACGTGGCTGTGTTTACAAGAGGTAAAAAGGATATAAATACTGTTCGTTTTCTCACACAAACCACTCGTTTCGTGTCTTAGGCCGTCAATGTGTACTTACATTTACGAGTCATTAAATCATGTTTAATTTGGACTTCTCTGTGCATGCTCTTTGAGGTGGTGACCATAGACCTCCATTATATGACAGACAGACAAGAACGATTTGACCTAAAAATATCAAAATTGAAAACTACTGCGGAAACAAAGACACCTACATATTGGATGCCCTTGAGGTAAACTAAAACATACCAAAAATTAATTTCAAAGTAAAATATCCCATTTAAGTGTGACTTTTAATGCATCCTTGCTGAATAAAAGTACTATTTTCTTTAAAAAAAAAATTAAACAGTAGAGTATGTACTTTATATATAAAGTGAATATCGAAAATAATTTCCCTGCTTTTCTAAACAGTGTTCATTCATTCATTCATTCTTTTTAAAAAAACAAATAACGTAGGCCAGTAGATAACCTCTACCCAAGACGCACATTATTGACTAAATATACTGGCATCTCACAGACTATAATTGATTTTGCCCACATATTTTAAACGAGAATCAATGAAACATTTCATACCACTTAGCAGATCAATGAAATATGAGGTTTAAATGGATGACAAAAACTATTTTGACATTTTCAACAATAACAGATTGCAGTTATCTGTTCATTTACATTGATTACTTTACTTTCCATTCAATTTACCCTTGTAGCTGGTGGTCAAAGAGTGTGATGCAGGAGAACAGGAGTTCCAGTCTTTAGTAAATAACAGCGGCCATAGTGACCCTGGATATTTAAGAGTTTGCTAAGAATTTCAAGACAATTAGATTTAGAACAAATAGTGATGTCTAGACCAAATTACAGCATGAACACTGGGTAGAAGGAGGACACGAATATCTTTTAGAGATTAGCGCATTGGTGTGGACTAAGAAAGGGATGTGTATTTTGATCCTGTGTATTTATACCAGCTCACACTTTAAGTGTTAGATGCATAATGATTGGATATTTCTGAATGCATCTAATTGTTGTTTTGCTTCCATTGCTTTAAACAAACTACATGAGAATATTAAAGGGATAGTTCACCACAAAATGAGAATACTGTCATCATTTACTCACCCTCAAGTTGCTCCAAACCTGTATGAATTTCTTGTATAAACACAAAAGAAGATAGTTTGAAGTACTGCATTTTGAAATGCTGGGCTGTTTCAACCCAATTTTGGGTAATATATGGACAAACCCAGCCGTTGGGTAACATTTTTAAATAGCATTTTTAATCCAACGTTTAGGTTTGTCCATATTTGACCTAAAATTGAGTTAAAATAACCCAGCATTTTTTAGATGCTGGGTTGTTTTATGGTTTCTGTGTGTATATGGTTGATGGACCCCATTGACTTCCATAGTATGTAAAAAAACAAAAGTCAATGGGGTCCCTCAACTATTTGTTTTCTGACATTCTTCAAAACATCTTTCATTTCAGCTGAAGAAAGAAATGCATACAGGTTTGGAGCAACGTGAGGGTGAGTACATGATGACCGTATTTTCACTTTAGCTAAACTATCCCTTTAATTACAAAAACAATTAAGATTAATCATGATTATTTTGGGCGATTACATTTTCCTTAAAGGAAACTTCCTTTTGTTTCTCAATGGAACCAGTTTTATGTTATTCATCACATGTTCAGTGCCAACTATGCATCTTACAAGTATTTGTTCTTAGCCAAAGTTATCTGATATCTAGCGCCGAGTATGTTTCTGGCCTTATAGTCTGCAGAAAACATTGCCAAATAAATGTTGTGACATAACTTTGTCAAACTCTGGGCCTGACTCTGCATGCCACAGATTGTGAATGATGAAATCCTCCATGCACAAATGCAAGATCAGATAACTCTATCACAATATCTAGCTTTGTTCCAAGTACATTTAAAAGGAAGCCTTCAGATTAATCTTAATAATCCACACCAACGCAAACCCGCATTCATGATTCACATGAATGAATGCTGTTCCCTTCCTGTTCATGCTTCAAATACATGTAATAAGCAATAAACCTTCTAACCTATTTTTCTATTTTTTCTGCCATAGGCTGTGGGAATGAAACAAAGTATTGACTGACAGGTTTTGCTGACACATGCATACCAAAGGTCCATCGCCAGAAGGCTTTCCACACCTAAATTGACAGGTCATTAAAGGCAAAGTATGTAATTTAACCAAAAAGACTTGCAAGAAATAATAAGTGTCTTCTCAACACTGCCATTGGTCAAAAAACAGATAGTCCCGCATAAATCTCACTCTATTGGTGGAGACAATTTTGTATAGGGCTGATCAGGATGCTTAAACAAATACGGCAATGTTTTGATAGAGTGACAGTGTTTGCATTTCTCAGGAGAAAGTCTTTGCTGGGACAGGAGAAACGATTTTTAAAAGCGATAGTCAATAAAAAGGTGTGAATATTCATTATCTTTCTAAAAAAAATTGCAAAAAAAAAGCAGGTCATGTAAAATGATTCATTATAATATGTGCATCAACACTTTCTGTGTGATTTAATTGCAATACAATAAACAACAATGTATTGGATTTAAAGTATCTTCATTATGTGACTTTTCTAAGCTAACATTGTGAATAATAAGACCAATTAATAGTAAACATAGTTAATATCTCTTTAATTCAACCCTTTAATTAATTGATTTTTCCTAGAAAACATCATTAGGCCATGAATGACATGTGTCAAAAGTAAAATGAGAGAAGTTAGTATTTGTAATATTAGTTTTATACTTGCAACAGGAAGTGTAAAATAAAAATAAATAAAAACTATAGATTCATGAACAGTGCTTTTCCTCAGACAGTGGCACAAGTCTGCATAATGGTATTGTACAATTCAATGATCCAATGTTAAGTTACCCTACATTTAGTTATTCAGTTTACCCTGCCGTCTTTAATAGAATCGCAGATGAAATCTGTGAACGTCTACGTCATTGCATTCTCTGCAGATGGTATGATCAGAATCTACACGCAGGCAACACGCAACCATTCTTTTGTGTATGAAAGGTGTGCTTCTTCAAATAACAACCGTTTGACAAGTGTATATCCATTTTGGAAAAAAGAAATAAAGCCAATAAGCCAATTTTAGAGCCAGACCTGTCCATTTTTTACTTCTAAACACTGAATCAAAACCAGTTTTTTGCTTGGTCTGCTCTGGGACGGTGTTGGTAGCCCCCATCTGCTGTTAATTTCTCAACTGGCAAGAAAGCTCAAACAGCATGTTAAACACAGTCTGTTCGGGTAGAGACTGGACCACAAACAGAGGGCCCAGACCCCACTCAGTGGGGCAGCTGTCTAGCGATACCATCTGCTGGTGTTGAACTCTTGGCCCTCATCCTGTGGTCACCAGTCTCAAAAGTTCATCAAGTATTTTTAAATAAATTTCAGATGTAATTATTACCCTTTTAGCAACGTGAAAGACTCCTTGTCGTGGGGTCACTTGTTGGGGTTAAAGACAATCCTTCTGTTTGTGTTGTATAGATGATTAATAATGTCACCTCAGCTTTCTTATCTAACTAATGCTTTTCAGATCATTAGATTTTAATCATATTTTATACATATTCATATTGTACATTAACTATGTATCTATGAAACGTCATATAATAATTATGATATATTATGATATATATCTCATCTCTCTTTTAAATAATCATTAGATTTTTATCATATTTTTATATGAACTATGATGTATGAAAGAATATAATTATTATATTATTATATTTTTACATAGTATCTATCTATCGATTTATCTATGTTATACACTTAAAAGTCAAAAGTGTGGGCACACTTGACTAAAATTAGCATATATCTTATTTTCTTCTCATATGTTTTAAAATACGTTATGTTTGTGTAGATAAGTAAACATAAATTAGTCAAATCTGCGACGTTTGTTAGTGAGAGAGTTAAAGTTAAAACTTCACTCACCTTTCCTCTCAGAAACGGAGCACCACACCGCACTTGTCAGCACAAGACAGACGATTCCCAATTCACGGAACAGAGACGGCTTCCTAAACCTCATGTTCAACAGTGGATTCATTCTAAAGCATTGTTTTTGTTTAGATATTCCCACGAACAGACAATATGTTGCTCGTAACAGAGATAGTTTTCCAGCGGCAGGTCCTGTTCAGCTCCTAAACGTGTCTGAGCGCTTATATCTACAGCTGTGACGTGACGCAGGCAGCTCACCTACTGCACGCGAGACGCGGTTACTGAACCATTGTGTGCGTGTGTAACAAATGTCCTCACAAGGATAGTAATTTTGACTTTTTTGATTGTAGGTCCTCATGTGGAAAACAGCTTAAAGGAGTAGTTCACAAAAAAAAAAAAAAAACTTTTGCTGATAATTTACTCACCCCCACCATGTCATCCAAGATGTCCATGTCTTTCTTTCTTCAGTCGAAAGTTTTGATGAAAACATTCCAGGATTTTCTCCATATAATGGACTTCATTGGGAACCAAACGGTTCAAGGTCCAAATGAGAGTTTCAGTGCGGCTTCAAAGGGCTTTAAACGACATTTAAACGGACCTTTCGAGACGAGTCATGACTTGAAAAAAGATTCGTTCATTTTGATGAACGAGTTTGAACAGGAGAGTCACGAACGCTCATCACAGAACAGAGCAAGGTGAGCATTTGTGCTTATAAAACTTGAACTTTTTTTATTTATTTTTTAAATGGCCTATCGTTTCGCTAGATAAGACCCTTATTCATCGTCGGATGTCGTTTAAAGCCCTTTGAAGCTGCACAGAAACTCTCATTTGCACCTCGAACCGTTTGGTTCCCATTGAAGTCCATTATGTGAAAATCCTGGAATGTTTTAATCAAAAACCTTTATTTCTTTTTCGACTGAAGAAATGCCCCAATTTTTTTGTGTGAATTATACACAAATTAGGGTAAAATGATAAGTTCTCCATACTGAATAAGAAGCTTCCATAGAAACTCTACGAGCAGTCTCATGTTTCCGCCACAGAATAAAAACAATTTTAAATAGTGATTGCGAATTTTTCTTAATTCTGACTTTTTTCTCGCAATTGCGAGTTTACATCTTGCAAATCTTTTTATCTCACCATTTCATGATATAAAGTCACAATTGCAAGTTATAAAGTCAGAAATGTGAAATATAAATTCAGAGAAAAAAAGAATTGTGACGTAAACACTCAGTGAGAAAAAAGAATTGCGAGATGTAAACAAAGAAAAAAAGCCACCATTATCTTTTATTCTGTGGCGGAAACAAGCATGTTTCTCTCATCAAATTATTATTATTATTTTGTTTGCCAGAGCCTGTTTATAAAAATGTGAAAATAAAATTGTACATGTAGTGAATGTAAAATATGCACCCAAAATTGTATCGTTGAAAACATAGCATTCAAAACCCCTCAAATACCATCAATTTAATAATGTATTATGAAACACGATATTGCATTTACTAGCCTAAATGTTTATTGATTATATAGTGTTTTTTTTTAATTATTATTATTAATTAGGTAAAAAAATGCACAATTTATACAGTTAACTCTTTTTTTATTTCCGGGTTTCTCAGGGGAGGAAGTCGTCATAGTTTGGTAAACTTCGGTAAATCCATCTGAGAATATATAAAATCTATGAGGGTAACTTAATTGCTTGCATTGATAGCCTATAAATGTGCATACGTTTTAGACAAAAAATAAATAAATAGCAAAAACTTGTTGATGACCATTTAAACACCTCAAAGTCAGTGAAAACTGAAAAGGGTCCAAATGTATGTTAAACAGGCTCATGTTGTTTCTATTTGTTCTCGTCTCATGCACGCGCGTCAGTCGCTATAGTAACAATAAACTTTGCCTCAGGCTTTCAGTTTGTTCTCTTAGATTTGACCATAGACAGGATCTGGCCACCCTCGGGCAAGGTGAGTGCTCTAAATTTGTAGCAAAGGGAAAATAATATAGTGATTTATTATATATGTGTGTTCAAAGGTAACTTTAAAGTTAATTTAAGTTAATTTAGTCCACTAATTGTACAAAAATAACTTTTAAAACATTCGATAGTTTAACTTAACCGTAACGTTAAGGGGGTCGCACACCGCACGAGAAGCGCAGCACCGCGTCGCGCAGCACTACGTCACGTCTTTAAAATTCGAATACGAACACATTATTCTCTAAGTCAGGGGTGCCCAATCCTGCTCCTGGCGATCGACTGTCCTGCACAGTTCATCTCCAACCCTAATCAAACACACCTGAATGTGATCCTAAAGACCTTAATTGGCTACTTCAGGTGTGTTTGATTAGGGTTTGAGATGAACTGTGCAGGACAGTCGATCGCCAGGAGCAGGATTGGGCACCCCTGCTCTAAGTGTACACACACCGGCGGCGTCATTCGCCTATGATGACCAGAAATCCCCAAAAGTCCCATAAACTTTGCAGCTGACCAAGATCTTTCACCAAACTTGGGATAGCTTTTTAGTTTTACCTGATAGAAGTATCCTACAATTATAAATTAATTGGAAGTAGTACATTTTTCGTTTATGGCATGATTCCCAAAGAAGTCCCATTGATTAACACTAAATGTTCGTTATGTCCATTATGTCAAACACCAGCTGACAAACGGTTCTAAATTTAAACGAAGAAATTAACTGTAGTTTCCATATGACATCACATGATTCCATTCTTATTTATATTCTGAAAGTGTCCTTGAATGATGAATGAAGATTCTTTTGAATTTCCTCACTTTTAACTCCTAGGAGAAAACAAAAAATGTCTGAAATTGAAGCATCTGATCCTGGGTCAGATGTACCCGGTGTATCCCAAGAGGAGAAACACACTATGTCAACTCATGAAAAAGAGAATGATGATATAGCAAACCCACTCTCATCCTCACATCTGGACCTAGAAGTAAAACCACCTCTAACCACCATAAAAAGGGGTATGATTAATTATTTATTTAATATATAGACAGTTTACAATGACTTGTCTTTATGTATTGAAATAGGATTCTTAAGGTGACCCTACACAAAACGTTTTTGACAAATGTTGCCAGGCAGTGTTTCAGAGTGATGTTGCTTGGGCACTTTCCCATTGAGAATGGGCAACAAATTTC